GTATAGTGCTTAAAAATCTACAGGAAAGGAGGGATAAACAGATGGGGCATGGAGAATTTTTAGGGAATGAAATGGATCTATATGATGCTGTAATAGTGGATACATGTTGTCATGCACTTGTCAAAATCCATAAAATGTACAATACGTCAAGTGAACCCTAATGTAAGCTGCAGACTTGAGGTGATAATGATGGATCAATGTAGATTGGATTGTAACAAATGTACCACTGGGATGTGGGATGTTGATTTTGAGGAAGGCTGTGTACACACAAGGTCAGGTATGTGTGAGGGATGAGAATTCCCAGTACTTTTGACTCAATTTTGCTGAGAAGTTAAAACTGCCCTAAAAAATAAAGTTCATGAAAAATATTATAAATGAGTGTACAGGGGGAAAATATATAAATGTGTGTAGATATATGCAAAGGTATGTATGCATGCATAAACACAAAGACATACATACATATATAGGTTAAATGGTATGTTAAATGAGACTATATACCTATATATGGAATATATACAAATATATAAACAACTGTGTATACACATACATGTACACAAAACTATGACATTGTATGTTTATATATTAACCATCATGGCAGCTTTTTGAGATAGTCAAATATCTTTGTCACTTTAGTGGCATGAAATCCATGACTTAGGATGCGTAAGACTCTTCCAAAATTCACATAGCTCTAAGAGCAACAGCAAGGTCTTGATCCTAACTTCTCTTGTCAACAATTATTTATACTCATATTATTACTTCCTCTGCTTAATTTATATCATTATAGTTGGAAACACTTTAAAAATATGTATCAAAATTTACAAATTACATTTCAATATTTGTATTGACAACTTTGGCAAACCTATATTTATTGGTTTTGTTTATTTAAGTTGAGGTAACAGGACAGCAGCTTTTCTGTAGTTAATTAAGCAGTGATGGCAGTAAGAGAATGAAGTAAATTTATTTTGGGATGTAAATACTTGTCAGTGTGTCATGGCTCAGCAGAAATCTGAGCTGGGCACCACTAAATGTTCATTCAAACTTTCCTGAAGCCACGGGATTCTGTAACGCTGACATGATTTGATTTGGTGAATGGTGCTGATGATGTTGAAATAGAGCATTTTCTTAACTTTACAACTTAAAGTGCCCTTTGTTTAAAACTGATATTTTGTCTGAATTATTGAGTAGCCACATCCCTTAACAGTGACACTAGTCACTTCCAGGCTGCCTAGAAGATGTACATATCACTACAGTGAAATTAATTTAACCCTTTTCATTTTTAAATTCAAGCGAATCTTTAACCACATACTGCATTTCACTGTCATTTCCTCGGCTATTTAAGTATCTCCTAGAGTGACCAATTTATACCACAATGTATTTTTTGGATGTCAAAATTAAAAAAGATGAGCTGACATAATGCCATAGCCCAAATCATAATGTTCCCTGCCAGAAAAGAGAAAGACGCAGGTGATTACCACGGGGGCAGATTTCTTAATGTTTGACTTAGTCTACATTCATTGGAAACTTAAAAATGTCAGAGATGGTGGAGGGCCTAAAAAGATCTTACTTATAGGGATTTATATGGCAAAATTTAGACAGTGGTATGACTGTCTAATCATAAGAAATTTTCAATTTAGTATTTTGGAAGTGTATTTTTTCGTATGAAGAATATATGACAATTTTTATATGTAATTAAAGGTAATTGGCAGGTAGTACTATGTCCTGTTCAGTGTGGGTAGTTTCTCAGAGGATGTAGACTTGATTTCAAGATGACAGTGAAAAAAATTTGCCATTTCCACAGACATTCAGGAGGTGGAATGTGAATTCTCTGGTCATATGATTTGATGTTATTAAGAATCAGTTACCGCCATACACTCCCAGCACTGTCTATTCTCTCCAGATTACGAAGGTCTGCGCTCTCATTGGGAGGCATTCTCTGCCAATGTGTGAGGACCCAATCCTAGCCCATTCTACAAGCCACATTCCCGCAAGAGCTTCCTCTAAAAAACTGTTCCAGTATGACATTTCCTGTGTAAAGTATTGGTAAAAAGTCTTTTGTTACTCTACATGAATTATTCTCACTTAGTCTAGCTGAGCAAGAACTTAAAACTTTACTCTCGTTTTTTTCAAGTTATAAGCTTATCACAAGATTTATGTCTTCACGGAAGCTTTAAATTATTAACATGGTAACTCTATTCTTCTTGAATCTATTCTAAGTTAATATAGTATTCTCTATGCATGGTTCCCCTACAGATAAACAAATACTGATGAAAGGTAAATGAAGAAATATTTTACAAGGTTATTATTTTCTTGCTGCAATGAAATGGAATGTTAAACTGATCAATAGAATAATGAGGCCTAAAACTTATTTGTCCCTCACAAGATATGTAGATTAATACATTCATACTATTTGAGAAAAAAAATAGGATATACTAATAATTAAATGCTAGCAGAATTATTTTCTTAAAAAAGAAAATTATGCTTTGAACTTGTCCTAGGAAACCTATACCCATTGACTTATTTAAGGAATAAAGTATGACAAACATTGAAGCTAACACATGAGAGCAAAATGTTTAAATTTAAATATCAGACATATTTCAATAACTTTTGCAGTTTTTGATCAGTTACTTGAGCTCACAGGCTTAATTAATGCCTGCTTTAATAATACCTGGAATCATAGAAATTTGTGTTTCCATGTGGTCCATTTTGACAGAGACAATGTCATCACATTGAGATTTATTGTAGCTTGAGTTTTTTGAGAATGTAATTTTTTTAAAAAGACACTCAATATATATTAAGCTGAATTTCATTTGTAATATTGCTTTATTTGGCATGTATTTACTTTCTAGCAGTACTTAAGTATGAGTACTATTATGAATAGTTGAGATGTACCCAACATCCTTCCCCTTTTTTCTTTTCAGTTACCTCGCTACCTCTTATGAGCTCATGTTTTACAAGAAGCTTTGCCTTTTTACACAGGTGAAGCATATAACCTAACAAACTCATCAGCTAAGTATTCCCCTATATCAAATGAGTTCACTAAAGATAATTTTCAGTGCACTGGGAATTTCAGAAATCAGGATTTTTCTCTTCTTCTCCACCACACAGTGCTGTGGCAGTGAAACCTAGACCAATTGTGGTCATTTGCTGCCGTGCAGAAAGTCAACCTGAGGAGCTAGAGCCAAGAAAATCCCAGGGAAATCAATCCGGGCCCTAATCATATCCACCACCAAGCCCGACTTAACTCTTGCCATCGTCAGTCATGTGAGAAAATGATTTTCCTGAAATCTTTCGCCAGTTTGATTCAGATCTGCACATACTTGAAAATGAAGTATATAAATGATATTTGTTACCAGGAGTGGGGTTACAGGTAACAGGGTAGAATTCTTTAAAAGTAAGGGACGCAAGAAACACTCTGTCATGTAAGAAGCTGATTTTTTTTTTTTTTTTACATTTACACAACAGTTGGTTACAATGTGAGTTATTTTATTTTGGACCTTGTAACATGTGCTACCCACACTACAGTATTAGGTAACTGAGGGAAAAAAATAGGTAGGATGATGGATACTACAGCCAAAAAAGAAGAAATGTTGCTTTGATACTTACCTCTGAAAGCAGAACCAATAGCAAAGAATGTTTCTCCAAGAGTTGCTCCTCTGTCTGTGGTCTGCGATACTAGTATATTTAATTTTTCAGGGACCTCCACGCTTGGAAAAATTAAATTACTTACACCAAACTAAAGAGAGGGCTATCAAAAACAGAGAGATGAGAGACATAGTAGGAGAAAATATAGAGCAATAGGAATGTCTTCCCCCAGCATATTTTTAAAGTATATTCTCCTTGAAAAAAATATAAATGCCCACATTATAGACAGAAATCAAAATGAGGAGAGGAGATAAATATAGTTACACACTACTGCCTATTGTTTCTACTAACTTCTATAAGATACAAATTATATACATATACATGTATATAAATAATTTCCAAAATATATTTTATACAAATTTTCCAAATTAAAGATAAGAGAAAAACAATAATTATAAAATTATTTTTCAAAAGCCTTCATAAGGCTATTCACCTAATTTTCAAATTATTTAATGTTAGTGCATTAAATATTTCCCAAATGTAATTAGCTAACATTCTTTTTATACATATAAATTAAGCATTATTTTCAAAATAGCTTACAGAGTAAACAATATTTTTCTAATATGCTGTGGCTACTGATCTTATAAAGCCTCATTATGAGTCAGTTAATAAGCATATATAAAAAAGACTAAGTCTGATTTCCTTTTCAAATATTTAATTTTAGGAATTCCCATTTACATGTGTTTAGAATGGACAGGAATGATTTTTACCTCTTCAGTAATACTTTTATATAAATTAAAAATATTTTGATTTCACATATATGGCAATAAATTTCTAGGTTTCCCATTAGTACTGTTTTTGTAAAATGGGGATGTAGTACTAACAATCACTACATATAAAATAAAGCATATGATTATTTTGTTGGTTTTACAAATCTTTTTCTCAAACGTAAATGTAAATTTCTAAAAAAAAAAAAAAAACACTAACAATCAGAGAATACTGATTTGACTTCCACCATTGTAGTATTTCCATTTTACCTTGAAAGAGAACATTAAAAACATGACCTTGATTGGTGGGAGCAAGAAATTGTATCACTGATAGAGAATATCTTATAGTTATCTCTTATAGTAAATCATTAGGAAAATACTGAAAGTTAAAAAATCCAAACAAAATATGGTGGGGATCCCTAAACTACTTTGACACTACTTAGACGAGTAGCTTAGTCTTAACCAAAATGTTTTTTTTTTCCTGGTCATAATCATCACCCTCCCCTCAAATGTCTTTTAAAAAATACATTGAACAATAGCAAAAATCAAAGAGCACAAACGATTTTCAAGAACAGAAAAATCTCTAGCGCAGAAATCTTATGGTGAAGAGCAGATTGCTTTGGAGACATGACTCAATCAGCTTATAATTCGTTATGAGGATTTCTCTTTCCGCTTTGGGGCAAAGTCTACTCTATGTGAAGTTTCCACTCCATTTTCTGTTCCTTTTTTAGAAGACTTGCCTTTACTCAGGGACCGTTTCTTCTTCACAAATGAGGCCTGAAGATTAGAATCCTCTATCCATCTCTGAAACCACAGAGTGATTAAGTTCCATGTTATGTATGCCTGGATAGTGCAACTGGAGGACAAAACAGCGATTTTAGCTGCCAATACGTTTACGTTTCCAGTCACGGAATCTGGATTCCGACTATGCGATCCAGCCAAGTGAAACCCAACGGTCAGGACCGAGACGATTAAAGTCACGAGTCTACCCAAAATGAACACAATGGCCCACAGAGAGATCCCTTTCTGGTACTTCTCGTCGCTAAAATAAAACAGGCCGCACATGTGGGAGAGCAATTCCACGAAGTAGTGCAGCACCAGAAGCAGGAGCCCCAGGTGGTTCAGGTACAGCAGGTAAGCGCCCGTGATGTGGAACAGGTGGAGGCCGATGTACACAAGCTGCCCGGGGACGTCTTGTTTTTTGGTTTTCTGGAAGTAGAGCTCGGGAAAGGCGTGGAACCAGTAAGCCAGCTGCGAGATATAGAAGAACTTCATCTGGAAGGTCATCATGCTGTGGGGCTGCGCCCTCCACAGGAGCGCGGGGTCGGCCAGGCAGTTCTCAGAGACCAGCACGACCGCGCCCCAGACGCACGAGACGAAGTAGAACACGCTGAACTGGCCGGACGCGTTGAACTTGTTCTGCCTCGCTTTGGTGAACTGCATCCTCCTGTTGATCTTATCCAGCACGTACTCCTGGATGGTGGCGTGCAGGATGATCGCCACCAGCATGTAGAAGAAAATCGTGGCCAGGTCTTTGGCCCCATAATGGTACAGGGACCTGGAGCCCGCGGCGTGCTCTTCCGCCGCGGGGACCACGACGCCATGCTGCAGCGTGAGGAAGACGATGGACGCCTCCGCTGTGCCCTCGAACATCAGCCCCAGCACGAAGAACATGCCCACGCAGGACACGATGTCCGCGTGATTCTGCAGGATGAACTCCTGGCTCAGGACCGGCGGGTTCCGGGTGCTCTTCTTGCGGAACCCCATGCCGGCGCTTCCCGACACTCACCGGCGAGCCGCCGCCGCCCCCGGCTGCTCCTCACAGCGCCGCGGCCGCCGCGGGGTCTTCGCTCCCCATCCCGAGCCCGCCGGGTCGCCGCGGCCGGCCGGGAGAGACCGACCGGTCACGGCGCGGGCGGCGCATGCGCACCAGGCTCGGTGAGGCAGGGCGGGGAATCGAGCGCCGCGCGCCTGCCCGCGCCAGGCCCGGGCGCGAGCGTGAATCTTCCGCGGGGATCGTCGTCGCTCCGGGTTCGCGGCCACTGCCGAGGTGCTCCTCGTTTCCTCCTTTCACTGACATCTTCATTAGTCACCATGATAGAACCGGTAGGGCTCTGGTCGTTCTCAGTCAGATCTTCAGTCATAACAGCAGCAGCATAAGAATATTTAACAGCAAACGCTCCTAGTGCCATTTGTCAGGTGCTGCTCTAAGCACTTCATTTACATTTACGAATTTAACCTTCCTGGAAAACCCAACGAGTCAGATACTGTTACAGTCTCCCCTCCCCCACCCTAGTTTAAGTGACAAAACACTAAGGCGCAGGGAGTTGGGGGTCACGCCCCAGCTCGCGTCCCCAAAGTGACACCCAGTACCGACCCGCCTGGCCCCGGCGCTGCCCCTCCTGGTAAGTCCGTCTACGGAGAAATACAGATCAATATCAAAGCATATTATAAAAGAGTTCCCGATTAGCAGTAATAACAATAGTACTGGCCAGTATTTTGAAGGACTTGGTGGCAACTGCAAACAGAGAACTATTTATAAGTTCGTGGAAAGGTCTGTTGGCTACGAAGCCCGAAACTGAATCTCTTCTTTCCAGCCCAGATGAGAACCTCGTATTTCATGGGCATGGTTTTTGCATATGCAATTTTGCTAAAATGTATATTTTAAACACAATTTCTTTTGTAAGTGCTAATACCTTTCTCAGTTCAAATTTCATGTCAGTCTTCAAAATTTCTGTTTAAATGCAGAGCAATTTTCTTGTTTCTTCTGTGTCTCATGAGATCACAGTCATTACTAACAGAGTTAAAGTTTGAAATTTGGAATACAGATTTCCAAAGAAAAAGTGCTACCGATTTAAAGAATAAAGCATAGATTACATTTAAACTGCCCAATTCCCTTGTATCACTGTTTTTCCCCATGCCATGCACTAGTAATAGATGCGATCCAACTTGCGTAATTACTTTCACAAAAGAACAAAATACTCTGATTAATGGACAATGCACTCTCATTAAGTGGTACACTTGCTTTAAGGGTTTGCTACATAGTCTTTGTTTGTTTGTAGGTTTTCCTAGCTGTTACTCAGTTTTTGGCTGTGACAGCTCAACAATGAGTTCCATAAAAGGTAACTAAATCATCGAGGAATGATAAATAGAGATCCAAAAATTAGGGTACCCAGAAATGAGGAAAAAATTAAACTTTTTGAAAGCAGTTGTGGGAACCAAAGACAAGAGCAGTGCCTTGTGGGAATTGTCAAGACTTTATTCAGGAAAGTACATATTTACCTTTTTGAGACTAATTATAATTTTAAATATAGAATTAATCAGTCTTCTTATAGGCATAGACAATATGGCTGATTATTTTGTGGCACACTAATAAATATAAAAAATGCTTGTATAATTCCTTAATATAGACATCAATATTTGGCATTATTTTTGGCAGGTCTTCCAACACTACTTGGGCAAATATGAAAGAATTTGAGCTTAAAAAACACATCAAAGTGAACAGCACCATTATTTGTGCATAGATTTGAAATATTATTTTAAAATCTAAAGAATAACAAAGCCATTATGGGCTAGTTTAAAATTATCTCTTGACCTATAAAAAAATAAAACAACTAAACTTTGATGGTTTTTTTTTCCCTATCACTCTACTTGCTTTACAAGTAGAAGAACTGTCTTCAGCATATCATCTCTCCCTACTTTGAGCTTATAACACCAAACAACACTCTGTATTATAAATTTTCAATTTAAATTTTACTTTAAATGTCTACTTGAATTTTAGATTTAGATGTCACAATATCATCATAAAAATATAAAATGTCAGATGTATGAAACGATTAGAATCTGTAAGGGTATTTCAGTAGTATATAATATGATGATTGATTTCCGTGGTTTTACTAGTGCTTTTATTTGACAAAGAATAAACTGCATATAAGAACGTTTAACAAATTATGTTACCACTGTGATTATTAAATCATGTAATATATTTGGGGGGTATTTCTCCTTTATGCACAGCCCTATATGCCTGTGGCACAGATAATTATTAAAATTCAAAGGGAAATTTCTACTTCCATCCACAAGGGAGTAACTGTAATTGAACTTACACTCCTATTGTGAATAATTTTAAAACTAGACAAAAATATATGAAATACCTTTTTTCAGATATTGCAAGACACACAGCACAGGACTATGATCCCTGAGAGAAGGGAGACAAGTGAGGTGAGCCCCACAATTAGTCTGATTTTATACCTTGAAGCATTTTCCAGACCATTCTACAGGAAGGGAAAACCCAAGAAGAGCCCAACAATCTTGCTGAATTGAGGAGGGAGAGGCAGAATTTAGGAGAAGCTGAGGCCATGAAATTTGCTGGACAGATTACTTGTGTAGAGGAAGTTAGGTGGTAAAAGAGCTCCTGAAATTTGCATAAATGTCTTTTTGAGTCTGCTACTGATATTAAGTCCTGCATGCACAGGGTTAAAATACATGAGGCTGAACGAAGAATAATAGGAGAATTGTAAATTGATATTTCCTAAGACTCACACAGGACTAGGAGACTTTGAAGATTGGAATAGCCAAAAAGTAGACTCCTCATTGAACACTTGTAGCATTCAGTAGGGATCCAAAAAAAACTGCAGTCTTAAGTAAGGCTAACCTTGCCCTAAGGAAATAGCTAATTCATGCCTATCCACACAAAGTTTACAAGAAGCCTTGAAAGGATTAAGGTACTCCACAAGGAACTTAACTGCCTGCCAGAACAATCCATCTCTCAACATTGTGAAATTCGTATTGTCTAACATCTGGTAAAAAATTATGAAACAAAGGGTAGGTTTGGCTGGGATTGTCTGCCAGGATGCCTACTTGTGGCCTCTCCATGCACCATTGGCATCTTCATGCTAGGTGACTCAAGGCTCCAAGAAGGAGCTTTCTAGCCAAAAAAGACAGAAACTTAATGGCCTTTTATTAGGTAGCGTTAGAAGTCGTATCATATAATTTTCATTGTCAAAGAAGGCACAAGCCTACTATCCACCTTCAAGGTGGGGTGAGGATTGAAGGGAGGGTGGGGATTTTCACCTCTTAATGAGAAATGTACCCAGTACTTGCTAAATTTTTAAGTAGCAACATCCTTTCCATTGACAGCTGATTTTGTTTCCTCTCACATGAAATACACACTGTTCTCTTCCATGCAAATAATAGTCTCATGCAAATATAGTGTCAGGCTCAGGTTTATTACCCAGAAAATTATAAGCTAAATTAGATCCAGATGCAAATGAAAAAAGGATTCTTTCCTTTGTTACACTTACTCTTGATGTAAAGACTTGTGAATTAAAGAAATAGGGTTTCTGGCTCCCACACACCCAAAGCATAAGAAAAATTCAATCTAAACTTCCATTTAGGAGTGAGAAAACGTGATGCACAAAGCAGTCAACAGCCAATAATAAGTATGGGATCTACCCAGGTAAAGTTCATAGATCTTTCGTTTAAACCTTGTTGTCCTCTCTAGGACATGGTGGAAGATTTTTTTCAAAAAAAAATGGATTAAATATCGTAAGTTGATTTGTTTGCATTTGTTGATTTATATATTTTAAAAGATAATAGAC